GCTGGTTTGCACTATCGTCAAAATCAAACTCGGAGAGATTGGGTTGGCCGGCGGGTATAGCAGCCTCGTTTTTTTCAGCCACCTGACTTTGCGCGTTAGTGTCCTTGGAGGCAGCGGTGGTCTGTTCAGCCTCTTCTACAAATAGGAAAACGAAAACAGTGGTCATAAGATGCTTTTCCAAGCAGCGGCAGAATACTAGCGAAACACGCGTCCAGGCTTTAAGCCAATACCTGTGTTGCTAGTATGCTCAATACTTAAAAAGCGAACTCCCCCTCCCGCTAAGAAGTAGGGGTTGCACTAAGACCGATCAGTCGCTGGCTCTATGCTGTAGAGAGAGAGCAGCTTTGTGAGGAAAACTACAGCATTCCGCTGCTCTTCAATAGAACAGTCCTTCGGGGAGAAGATAGAGGTTACCCCTATTTAAGTCAACTGTCCCTATTTATAGAAACGGTTTAACAGAAAGCGGCCACATTCAAAGTATACTTAGCTAAGTAGCTAGAGATCAGAGCGGTAATGATCTCTGGCCGGCTTGGAATATTGCTTCCTAAGACAGTCCAACAGTCGCGAACAACGATGCCAACCATCTACGTCACAGCAGGGTGGCGCACAGAAGGTGACTTGCGCGTGAATCAAAGGGATGGTAGACTTCTAACTCCCCGAGCTAAGGAATGTGTAGTTATGGGTTCTGCAAGGAAAATTTATTCTTAAGGAAATAAGAGTCGATGACGTGGTAGCAGGATTGCCAAGGCGCGTTGAAGTAGAAGTAACCCGGCTGCAACGAATACTACGTCAACTAAAATCAATGAGCACAATTACGCCTACTGAAATGCATATAGTTATTTCAGTATATTTTAAAACATCCACTGCTTATCCTACTGTTATCTTTGGTAGAATCCGCCGCACATTCTGCTCCCTTATTACTTGAGCCTGGTGTTATAGCAGGGTCAAGAAGATCGGAGACGGGAGTGAGCATAAGGACTGCCAAAGTTAAATAGAAACGCTAACTGGCAATGTAACTTTGTGCAAGGAGATACGGAGTATGGATACATCATCGTTGGCTAGCCAGTTAGATTCAGCTAACTTCTGGGAACTAAATCCATCGATTATGTACTAGATCGGGTTTGAAAACTTCTGCATCGTCCGGGCACTGGCAATAATCCTCTCTTGGCGAGAAATCTATCAAATCATTATAAACTCAATAGCATGATCGTCCTGCCGACACACCTATTTGTCTTTCATGTACGACAATTTTTCTCCTTCAAAACCTCATTAGTCACATTCATTTTTTTGGGATTCGTTCCTGTGGAAAGATCTTTTTTCTCACTATTCCAACTGACTTCTCATTGATTGGACGAAGTCAATAAACGGGTGTCGAATTGATAAGTCGTCATTACTATAAACATAAATTGGCCTATTTGCATGATTGTTTATCAGTTTCATATGAAAGCTTTTGCATTTAAATCGACAGCTCCATCGGGTGGTTAGCAAAATCATTATTATTAAGCCAATTCAACTTGAGTTGACCCGAGAAAGCCTACGACTTACCCTGTGCAGACGGACGCTTGACTCGGCCAGGGAATTTCCATTCAAGGATGATGGGCTTCTTCTGGGCTATGTCCTCGTAAAAGGGCAGCAAATCGGTCAGGGACAGGCCGTTGGGATACTTTTTTGCGAATTCCGAGTTAGGATCAACAATGCAGGCATCGGACATTGCAGTGTTATCGGTTGCCTTGAGAGGAAAAAGCAAATGAAAAAACCAAGAAGACGCAGGCAAAACAACTAGCGGAAGCGTTGAGAAAATATATACCCATTTACAGGTTACAATAACTGTCCAGTCAAAACCTTTTCCAGTTTCGAACCGCTATTCAGCAGTAAGACAGATTCAGAATCAGTCTTCAACTAGCCGAGTTTACCAAAAACGTTCTAGCAGAACCGATTAACGAAGGGGCTTGGTAACTAGAGAGAAGGCTAATAAAACCAACAAAGTGAGTCACACTCAGTCATAGGATTATACAATGTCATAGATGCCTACCAAAGACGAGATAAACCGTCATCAGCGGGGTCACGCACTACATCCCCCTTGCGATTTTTGACAATCGCAGGGAATGTAAATACCCAACGCAAATTCAAACGTCTCTTACCTCGGACTTATCTGTCGAGTTTGGTGCTATCTACGGAAGTGGTAGCTTTAGGTGGAAAATCAAACCAGCATGCGTGATGTTGGCGTAGTGCGAATGCAAAGGTTCATTTCTGCAAATCTCCCGCCATGTACACAGCAAGAATTACACATAAAAACACGGAACTGTGGCTGACCGGAGTAGGAGTGCAAGGACAAGTAAACCGTTTTCAGACTGGAAGGTCCTGTTCGCGAATACGAAACGTTTAAGGTATTTAGTGCCCCTTACACAGCGGGGCTATACGTACAAGGTAATTATGTGAATCTTAATCAAATGGAACTTCTTTTTCGACCAATGGTGAGGAGGCAGGCTGGAAGAGTTTGATAAGCACTAGTTAGGGTCTTGGTCAACAGTAAAAGGTGCTATCTTGCAGAGCGCTGAACGGCAAACTCCCAATAATCCAAGGGTCGTGGGCACAATAATCAGGTGTGCCAACCCCGGATATAGATGTTGGTGAAAAGGCGCCGACCAGGTATTCATAATACGTATTACTTAATTTTGCCGGGCCTATAGATAACTAGCAAGCGTCTGTCTCGCTGTTCGCAAGTCCCATTAAGGAATAATGGATCTGGACGACCATGGTT